TAAGAAAAGTGAGCAGTTGCATGCAGGATTTTGGGGGTGAAGGAAGATTCTTCGTTTTTGCCTTTCCAAAATACTTCTTTGTAGTTTGGAGAAGGTTCAAGGAGCTCACGTGTGGGACTTTGGGCGGAAAGGGAGATGCTTTGTCGCAGATTGGAGAAGGGCTGGGGATGAAGGATAAACGAAGTGTTGCAGGAGTTATATTTTAGAATGTAAAGAAATTCAGGTGTCATTTGTAAATAAAATGAATTAGGTGTGAGTTAAGTAAACATTAATACTATAAGTGCTATGTATGTAAATCTCCCAAATTTAAAAAGTTGGATTCTATTCGAGCTCGGCTCAAGCTCAATAAAAAGTTTAACGGATGAGCTTAAATAATATTGCACTCATGCTTGATTCAATTGCAGCCCTAGTAGTGATTTTGGGTCTTAATCTGATAACTTAACAAGATAGATCTCTCATTTTTTTGTGTAATGATTAAGTTCTCAGACATAGATGCAATTTGGTATTATTACAGCAAGTGAACTTAAGGAATTAATGGAGCTACCAATCTACATATGCCTCTATGTTTATTGATCCGGTTTATTATTATTGTTTTTATTATCTATCTATCTATCTATCTATCTATCTATATATATATATATATATATATATATATATATATATTGTGTGTGTGTGTTTCTCTATCTTAATCCTTATTCAATACTACATAACTGCAATTCTGGTGCGATCATTTGATTAGGCATGACTCAGCAGGTAGATTGTTGATTTTTTTATCTTATAATATCACATGAATTTGCTAAAAATCCTAAATTTTGATATAGATACTAAAACCTGCTCGAATTGTTTTAGATCCTCATGTTTAATTTAAATCAACTTCACCTTTCTTTTCTAAGGATTAAGATGTTCAAAACTAGATAATATATATATAAATTTGAAAGAACTGTCTTAAAACGACTTGAGACATTTTCTTACTGGCTCAAGCTTCCTTTTGATGTTATTCACTTGTTCAAACCTTTCTATATGTTTCCAAGTGTGTATGTTTCCATAATTTAGTTGATGTTTAGCTGTATAGCTTTGTGTAAATTATCTTCATCCAGCCATTATTGTACTCATATTGGATGATTCTAGTGCTATCTTTCCATTAGGGTTCTTCAGTGATGAAACCTTTACGCCATTTGTGACCTCCTTTTTTTGGTACAGCTAGAACCATTTGCTATTTCACATGATAAATAAACAGCACTACAGCTTGACTTGCTAATATCGTAGTCACATTATTTAAGCAGCTTGGAGTGATATGGCGTGGCTTGGGATGGAGCGTATTTGGCAAAACGTGGCGCAGGCAGGCAGATGTGGGCGGAAGATGTCGAATTGGGGTGGAGATGGAGTGGTCAAGGTGGATCTAGGTGGAGGCGACAGTATATTGGTGATTGCCAGAGCGAATGGTTTCAAATTTGGGATATAGAGATTTTGTGAGATGTGGATGTGCTGTGAATCAACTGAACTTGGAAATTTCGTAGATGGAGTTGGTTCCAAGCAGATTTGGCATGGGGGATGTGGAGTGAGGAGGGGGACAAAATTCAATGAAGGCAGGTGAAGTCGATAACAATTTTGGTTCTCCACATAATCATTGAAGGCGATGCGGAGTCTGGCCGAGCCTGTCATTTCGTGACTTTGATGGGTTAGAGATGGTGGGATTCAAGATGATGCGAGTCGATACGTCACCTAAACAATGGCCAGGCTCAATGTAAACACCATTGTTGCAACCTAAATCAGAAAACTACCTCAAAATAGAGAAAATATTGCATTGAGGGGACGTTTGGGCGGATTAAAGTCGCGGATGGCGTTTTCAAAGCGTCATTGTTTTGTTTGGTAATTGTGTCTCTGTCATGTTTCGCGAAACGTCGTTTTGGATTGTTAATAAACGCGTCCGCGGAAACTACCCCGCATCCCGCATTCGTTCGTTCGCATTTTTCTGTTGCCCTCTCATCCCCTCTGCCCTCGACTTGAGCACTAGAGTTGATCTCCCTCGCTCTCGCATCCCTTGCTTTTGCCTCTCTCCAATAGCATCGTTCACTCTCGGTAGTCTCAATCCCTCTCACACATATGGTCTATTTCTCCTCTCCCTCTCCTTTACAAGTGGTTATTCTTGTGGTAATTTCGCTTTCTCCATGCGATTTTGGCTTTATCCGTGCGATTTGTTTTTACTAGATAAATGGATGAAATCAGGATGTTTTTACTGAGATTTATTTTTGCTGGGCTTTCTTTGTTTTACTGAGATTTGTTTTTACTGGAATGAAATTGAGATGCTTTTACTGGGCTTTCTCCGTGCGATTTGTTTTATGGAGAATTTGATGAATGAATGAAATTGGGATGTTATGTGAGTGTGGTTGCCTGTGATGGAAGTGTGGATGCTCTTCTTACTTGTGATGGAAGTGTGGTTGCTTTATGGCAGTGTGTTTGCAATTAAATAAGGCTAGTTTGCTGGCGAAAAGGAGTTTTGTTGCAATGATAATGTACCACATCACATTCCCTTGATCTACAACTTTGCATTCGACTTCGAGTAATTTAATTTAATTTTGTTAGATCATGCTTCATGTTCGAGTTGAAGGGTGCCTTTTGTAAATAGAAATTTCTAGACTATACTTGAATCTATTACTCAGATTCAAGAAGCCTCATTTAGAATACTTTTTTTGTTTCTTTGTGGATCTTCCAACTTGAATTGCGGATTCATGTTTAAAAACTATTTGTATTTTTTCTCCTCATTTACTTAACATTGTGGAGTCTGTTTGGAACTGCCATGCCAATGGGGTCCTTTATTTGCCTTATGCAATCAGCTATCTAATGTTCAGATTGCTCTTAAGAGGCGGAAAAGCTATTCTTGAACTCTTCTTTCTGCTTCTATTTCTGACCTTAAAAGTCAGCAAGAAGAAATCTTGATTCAATTGGAAAATCAACCTTTGAATCAAGATTTCTTTGCCAAAGCCTCTTCCATTGAATCTCAACTTCTTAATGTCACCTATTCTGAATATATTTAGGGTCAAGCAAAGTGCCAAATGTGTTTGGCTATGTGAAGGGGAGGATGATGTCAAGTTTGTATATCAAAAGACTGAAAGTAGAAGTAATGATGAGTTCTTTGTTTGGTTTTAATTCTAAAAGCTCCATGAGAAAATTCTTCTCTAAAATTGACCTGAAGAAGGCTTTTGATAGAGTAACTTGGCTTTCCTTTATTACAAATTGGAAAAATTAGGGTTTCCACATGAGTTCATTGGCTGGTTTGAAAGATCCGTGCTTATAAAATGTGAAATGAGGGATCCTTTCATTCTAAATATGGGCTTAGACAGTTTGCCTACTATCTCCTTAGACAGGTTGGGTTGTTCATTCTTTTTTTATTTAACCTGTTAGTCTTTGTGGGTTTCACTGTTGATAGCTAATGTTATAATCGCCCATTCTTTGTTGGTATTTGCTAGCTGGATTTTGTGGCCAGTGCAGCTTAAAAATTTGTGAAAAAGATTTATAGAACTAGTAATTTTTCAGTGTGTGTCTCATCTCTTTCTTGTTGGGTGTTGTTGCTGGTGCTTGGGTGTTGGTGTTGGTGGCTGGACCTGTGTGTGTATGTCTCCTCTCTCTAATGTTGGGTGTTGTTGTTGATGCTTGGGTGTTGTTGCTGGTGCTTGGGTGTTGCTGTTGGCGGCTGAATCTTGGTGTGTGCGTCTCCTCTCTCTACTGTTGGGTGTAGTTGTTGGTGGTATTGGTTGGACCTCAGTGTGTGGGCCTTTCTCTACTGTTGGGTGTTTTTCCATTTTTTTTATCTCGTGTTTTCATGATTTATTTTTTGTTTTTTTGTTGGTTTTGGTCTTTATTTTTCGTGGCGTTTTTTTTTTCATGTTCTTTATTTTACTTTCATTATCATTTTGTTTCATTATCCATTTATATTATTAGTTCCATTATGGTTAAGACCAAAGAAGTGGCTTCGTCAGCAATGTGGGACAATGAAGTAACAAACATATTCTGGGACCTCTGTATTAAGGAGATTGAGCTTGAAATTAATCCACCGTCCACTTTAAGATAAAAGGGTGATAAAATATTTCAAAGAGGTTCCAAGAAATGATAGGAAAGGAGTTTGATAGGTTAAAATTCAAGAACAAGTGAGGCCAATTAAAAAAGGATTGAAAGCTATGGAAGGAACTGAAACGAGGATCCACAGGTGTTGAGATTCTATCAGGCGGACCATTGATGCTTCAGAGTGGTGGAATTAGACGTTACAAACAATAAGCATACCCCCCCAAAATGCTTGTATTTCCTTTTGTTATACATGTTCTTCCGTTTTAAGTAATATGCTTCCTTGAACGTTGCAGATAGTGTCAGCCACTAAGAAATTCAAGGTGAGTGGAATTGAGTCGAACCTGGAAGAGAAGTTGGACCTCATGTTTACGAGGGTTCTCACGGTGGGCATGCATGCGTTCAACCTAAGTGAGCAGGGGTTAGCAGACATACCGGATGATATGGCAGCTGAGCAGGTTATTGGGTCAGACGAAGGCCCGAGCATAAACTTGAGGGAGCTCGAGTCCGCAGGCCAATGAAAGCTGTCTAGGGTGGAGAAAAGGAAAAATGAAAAAGACGCTTTCATCAGAAGTTCAATAAATAAGCTGATAGAAGTTTGTGCATCTCGATCTTGTCCTTCAAATGACACCACCATAGATGACTTTCTTCGAGTTTTAGATTCACATCTTGAACTTTTGGCTGATTCAACATTCTATCTAAACTTTGTTAAGTTACTTAAGGACTCAACCCACAAAATATTCATGAAGCTGCGCTTTGAGCTTTATGTCCAAAACTTACGTTTGTCTATGAAAAAATGGCTCTGTGATAACACTGTTTGATGACACTGTTATTTCTAATATGGAACAGTTACTATTAATTTTTTATATTTTTTCTTAAAGTTATATCACCGCAGACAGATATTCTTGAATCTTAACAAAAATCTTTTGCAGAATGGATTGACAGTGACTTCGCTCGAATAGAATTGCTGTGTTGATTATGATAATATTATACGAATACTACCACTATACCGTGGATCGAACTCCATGCATGGCATTGTCCTTCATTAATAATAAATGAGTCGGTGAGATGCTAGGACATCTTATAAGGTTCAATAATAAATTCAGCATGTCAGTACCCATTTTTTTGGTTCTCCTCTACGAACTTCATAGCAACCATGAGCTCCACGATTCCTCCAGAACGACCACAAGGGAGGAGTTAACAATAACACTATACATTCAAGCACAGAATAAATCAATAAGAGGAGCGTTGGAGTGTTTCCAGCATTCCTCTGAGGCAATCAGTTGGTATTTCTCCATGGGTCTAAAAGCACTAGTCAGTTTAGCAGCACAGATAATTAGATCAGAGGATCCGTCATTTGAGACGACTCCTGTAAAAATTCTCAATGACCCGCGATATAAGTCGTTCTTTAAGGTAAATTTAATTCACGCCTTACATTCACATCTGAATTTAATTATTTTGCTGACAATAACATCTTTAACTATTTTAACAGAACTATATTGGTCCCATTGACGGTACCCGAGTTGATGCACGACTACCGAATCATGGAATGGGCACGTACATTTGTTGGTGTGGATCACTCACATAAAATGTGATGATTGTGTGTGACTTAAACTTGTGTTTCACATTTTTGATGGCCAGACGAGAAGAGAGTGCACATGATAGTCGGCTTTTTGCTTATGCGACTTAAATAATAGACAATGCTTCCCTCACCCTCCAAGCTCGTTCATTTATATACAACATTAGGTATTTTTATTAAAAATTACTAATAATGTTTTTTTGAACAGGTAAATATTATTTGTTGGATGTTGGATATCACTTACAGAGGGAGTTTCTGAAGTCATTTTCAGATATCAAATACCACTTTTCAGATTTCGATAGATCTAGCGGTGTTTCCCGTGGAAGAAAAAAATGTTTAGCAAACGTCACTCTTCCCTACGCGGTGTGATTGAAAGAATATTTGGGGTGTGGAAGAAAAAATAGGTCATCCTATGTGATATATCAACATACCTGTTTTCTAAACAAGTACATATTGTGGTGGTCATAATGACGCTCCACAACTATATTCTGTGACATTACTCTTGGTCGGATCCAGACTTCAGTATGGCCGACGACGATCAGATGCAGGTCTCACCTGAAGCATTTGAATTTCATGTCGGACAGTTTATAACATTGGCAGAGAGGGAGTCATCGAAATTTGAAACCTAGGATGACGAAGGTGCAGTGACAGCTTTGAGAGAGCAGATCACAAATGCTATCGTTGGATGCTGACCAGCCGTTTCATCTTTAATTTATAAACTATGTTTTTTTTAATGCCTGTTGTATCATTATTACTTTTGATTTTACATTATTCACATGTTGGCAATAACTTTTCTTCATTTGCTTGTTATTTTTTTGATTTTTTTTGGGCATGTGAGGTTGACGATGAGATGTTTGAACTTCTGGATTCTTCAGATGGCTTGTCAGTCGCTGTTGGTTTGTGTCACATGTGAAATCTCAATGAAGACAACCAAATTCCTTTTGTATTTTCGACGATATAGTTTTTGAGGATTTTTTGGATGACCTTCTTTGATGATATGCATATGTGATACGCGAGGTTGGTTTTTAGTGGGTAAAAGACAACCAAAAACCCTATTTTTTTACATGGTTTACTGTCTACTTGTAGTGAGAGATTCGTTGGTTAGTGTAGTGAGTTCTCTGAGCCCTCACGCCCTTTAGTTAATTTATGCTTGCATAGTTTCTATTTATTTCCATTTTCTTGTATATTTAACCAATGAATTTCATTTCTCTATTATGACTAGTGGGTGCTCTCTTGTATATTTGAAGGAAGATGAACTCAAGGATTTCAGGAACCTCCAGGCGAGTGCTCTGCCACTTCGGACTACGAACTTCATTTTTGACGTCACGTCAGACACATAGTTACGGGACAAAGTTCTACAGGTGCCCGCGGTGGGCATACTGTCCGGAGAAGTGACTTCTTCAGTTGAGCAGTTATTCTGATCGATTCCACTGCCGATAGTGATTGAGATTCGATGGATCCTTAATGGACAACGTTGCTTGTGACATGTTTCTTCTGCATTTTAAAATGAATATTATCATACTTTTAATTTTTTAATTGTAATTTTAATATGTATCTTTTTTATTAGGTTTCTTGATACTCACTCTTAAGTGAGGTATATCCTTTTCTTTGTACTGTTATGAAGTAATTTTTTTTGGTTTTAAACTATCAAATATATAGTCATAACAATTATTTTGCAAACAACACAATTACATAGTGGCAGAATGTTCATTATCCAAAAATAACTGCAAATCAGTTGTTTTTCAAACGCACAAATCAAATAGCCAGTTAGTTTATCAAGATCAGAAAGAAAATGATCATTTTTTCAGAAACAATTGCAAATCAGCTATTTTCCAAACCCACAAACCAAACTGCCAGCCAGCTTATCCGGATCAGTTGCTGATCAGAAACTTATCCGGATAAACTGCTTATCTGGATAAGTTTGATAAGTTGCAGCAGCCCTAAATGATAATGAGGCATTTGAACTTGCTAGAACTCTAGGTATTGAGGGGGAGATGGGGTAATGCAATTATAAGAGTTCTTTCGGGTTCTATTCTTAGTTTATTAAAAACATGAGAAAACTTGATGACCCACTAATAATCTAATAACAAATGAAACTTCTTATTTAAACCCAGTAAATCACCCATTACATCATGAGAAAACTTAATGACGCACTAATAATCTAATAACAAATGAGGCTTATTAGTTAAACCCAATAATTCACCCATTACATCTATTGAGAAAACCTAACCGTTCTGCAATCTCTGCAGGTAAAGCTCAGGCACTTCTCAAGCCGCGTTCGGATTTTCAGGCAATATCCTTCAAGCATGAGATCATTTAGTGAGAAGAAATTTGTGTATAATCCAAAATTGTTATATTATGGAACGAGGTTTTTTAACAATAGGGCGAGATGGATGATGATTGTGGCTCGGACTGATAGTAAGAATGTTGCTGCTGAATCAAGCAGCTCAGAGTCTATTACCACTGAAGACACGAGCACATCTGATCAGCAAGTTACAGGCATGGAAGAAGCTCAACCTCAAAAGCCAAAACCTGTGCTGAAGACGGCACCTCTACCAGCAAGGGAGAAGCTAAGAGCAGCAAGGGTTCTCTCAAAGTATACTGAATCTAAACCCATAAAACCGGCAATGGGAAGCAAAATTCTGGATGCATTAAGAGAGACTGACAAAGGCAAGAAGCGCTCTGGCCTCCCTGAAGCTCCAACGAACTTGTTTGATGACAGCAATCGTGGATTAGGGCAGGAAGGCTGGAAGTTTCAATTGCCTGGAGGTAATGATCTCTTTGCAGTCGCCTTCTCTTTTGTCTTCATCAGTACTGTAATGTTTGCAACGACTTATTTTGTATGGAAAGTCGGTGCAATACATTTCAATGAATTCTGAGGTGACAGAGGAATGAAAGACTACCTCACTTCTCTGTAAAAGGGCTGAAAGGCATTTGAAAGCTCCCAAAAAAGTATGAAAACCGTAATATTTCTTATGCTGCATGGTCATGGTTTTTATTTATAGAATTGCTGGTGATTTGTATGTACTTAGAACTTTTTGTAGTTATTATTATTAATTTTCTATGTATGAATATCATTTCAAAAATAAGAACGGCTGGAGGTTGTATAAATATCCTCTTAAACTCTATTATTCTAATTTCATCAATGTATCTAGCCAATAGAAGTTATTAAATTCTAAATATTATCAAATCCACATGAATTTAACTTCAAATCAAAATATTTAAAATTCTCTATGCTCTGAAATCAAAATAATTTTTGAATGTAATCACATTTAGCTGGCATGCGACCATGTAAATAAATCACTGCAAAAGATACAATTTTTTCAAAATTTAATCACGCTTTGCAATAGAGAAATGAAATACATTTCATAGCACAAACAAGTTTGAAAACCGCCAACATAGGCTTAAAGAATAAACTTCCTATACTAAACATGAAAAATTTTCTTCTTCACAGGCATCTCTCATGATATATATTCACATAAAAAAATCGCCGTCCTTCTCCAATACGATCTGAAGAAATTATTGCATCTTCCAAAATGAATTCCGCCGCCTCCAAAATACAGATCTTTCTAGCTGTGTAGCATGCAACCTCTAATATAAGGATGTAGAAAATCTATGTGACGCCACCAAAGATGCCTGTACCTACTAATTCCCAGCTTCAGCCATGGCTTCATATTCCCATTAAAGTGCAAAGTAGCAGCACTCTCAATCAACCTAAAATCGATCTGGAAGTCGTATCCCAGGCCCAGCACATGCCATCTTCGGTCAAGTGGAACCATGAGTCCATAAAATGCAAGCAGCCCTGCCGGCAAAGTCCCCTCCCAAATCAAGCCGTCTGCATTCTGCTGTACCCAGTAGTGAAACCTTGCGGTCACGTTGGCTTTCTTCCATGCTATCAGATCGACCACATTGAGTCCGAATGCCCAAGCACAGGCCTGCGGATCAAATGTTGCGCTGATCAACGGATGGGAAAAGTTGACATGGTTATGAAGCCTGTGGAACGAGTCGAGGCAGGTCTCCACTGCTCCAATAGCACTTCCGTGCATGTTCATGGAGAAGAGAGGCGTCAAATCCCTTTGGACAACGATGTCATCATCAAGAACCACCACCCTCTCCAGCAACGGGTGAGTTTCTGGGATGTAGAACCGCAAGTATTTGAGCAGAGAATGCGGACTCCGTGTTTCTGCTCTCGCTAGTTGTTTAACCAACGGCGAGGAAGATTCGTTCAACCAAGAAAACTCTTCCACTCTTCTCACCACTACAGTACAGCCTTTGAAGTTGTTTTTCAGAAACCATGCAGTCATTGCTTGGTAATTGATGTTATCCGTGACGACGTGAAAAACAAGCTGTTGTGGGTGCTGTACATTCGCAATGGTAGAATTCACAACAACGGAAGTCGCGAGGACGTTATCGGAGAAGACGCAAAAGTGATATAGGTTGATGTCGATTAGACGGAGGGAGTCCTGCTGCTCTTCTGCACGAAGTCTGAGAGCGGGTTGTTCTTGGTGCCAATCTTTTGTGAGCTTGAAATTGATGCATTGGAGATTCTTTGGCATGGATTCAGCCGCTAATCTGCCAAATGCCGCACTCTGAGCAGTTGCTACGATGACGCGGTCTTCAAGGGCTTGGACATGGTTTCTCAGCGTTGAGATTGTTGTGCTGATGTCAAAGTGGTAATCTAGGGCTTTGTTGATTGATTTTGATAGCTGAATGACAATGGGTTGGGCGTCCATGAGTGTTATGTGCTTCCCGCTGACTGCTGCTTGTGAGAGCAATCTTTGACAGGTCCTGATCTGTGAGCTTAGTTCTGCAGCAAAATCAAAGTTACCATGCTCCTTTGCAAGAACTAGGTAGGCTTTCGATAGTGTCATCTGGTCAACCAATTGCCGGGTAAGTGATGTGCTGGACAACAAATCTTCTGTAAAGTTCATCCTCTCAACAGAAACATCATCAAGTCTTGTACTTTTCACCTACAAAAGGAATTATAAAAAAAGCAGATAATTGAGGAAGCATAAATAAAAATGGGATCTATGAAATTTAGAACTAACTAAATTAGGAACAACGGAGGAACAACGTAGGACGGTATCAATTTTTTTCTTTATTTTATTTTATACAAATTATTACAATAAATCATCATAACCTTCTAATAATAAAAGAGTAACTAAGGAAAAACCACCAAGTACACTAAAGAGTAATCAAATTAAATCAAAGTAACAACATATTCTGAAAATAAAACAATATTGCAATCCAACCAATAACAGTCTAACATTACTCCGAAATAAGCAGTAAAAGAAAATATAATCAATACAAACATATCAACCTGGAGTTTTGTTTGAAAGAAATAATTGATTTCAATAGTAAGTTTATCACCGCTTAGTAAGCAATTATACATTAATCATAACAAATAACCAGTAAAACAAATCCCTCTTATTAGACATATCAACCTGGAGTTTTGCCTGAAAGAAATAATTGATTTCAACAATAAGTTTAACATCTCTTAGTAAGCAATTATATATTAAATTAATATTTGAATGTTATGTATGAATATGTCAAACAAATGTGATTCATTAATTATCAAACTATAATCTTTCATTTTAAATTAATCATTCATATTTCAATTTAAATATTTACCTTTTTAACTATTTTAAGAAGTCATATCAAGATCATCTTCATACCCAAAAGTATCCTTAAAAAGTTGTACTCGTAGGTATCCTAATACTTGTAGGTTCTAAAAAAAATTGAAATTGACAACAAGTCCCATCTACCTATTTTGATCCTCATTCTCTTAAAGATTGAAATTGACAAGTCTAGTAAATTCTATAATATCTAAATCAAAAAATATAAGAATTTGCAAGTCTAAATCATCTAGTATGATCCTCCTCCACATCTTGGAGTCGATAAGACTAATATTTTAAATATTTTAAACTAACAAAACTCAAGTGAATCTTAAACATAAAAATTTTAAATGCCCAAACACATCGATGATGCTTGTATTGATCATGAATCTATATAAGGGTAAATTTTAATATAAAATTTTCAAATAGCAAATTAAATATTTAAGTAAAATTAATCACTTAAAAATTTAAAGAAAATCACATCCACCCCCCGCAATAGTTTGTCGAGGGTCACAAATTTTGTATTGACTTAAGCTTAAAATGAGTTAATGCCACATGAAGTGTGCTATTATATTCACATCCAAAATACTTTCAAGCTAGTAAAAACGTGACCCGAGTCCTCTGTCCTTATGGTTTGGCCCAAAAGCTCTACAAAATAATGGTTGTGAGCAAAGCAAACTAGTCAGGTGGTTGCCAACAAATGACACCATTATAATACGATTATAGTTGTAGCCTATATATTCCCTAGCGACTTTTTGTCCTTTGATTTCTGAACCATAAATATACATTTGATTGGCTCAAACCTTCAGTTAGCTAAGGTTGAATTAAATTTGTTTCCTTAGACGAACATTCATCCCAGATCAATAAGGGACTATTGGACGATGCAAACCATGGTTGCTGAAGAATCATTCAGTTAGATTGGGTCGACTACCTCATCTAACTAAGTAGATCAAGGACAACAACAACCCTGGACAACGGGATCATGGGATCTTGATAGAGTTGCTCATCTTTCCTATACCATATGCTTTAAGCTCCAAGTGATAAATGTTACAATTTGAAATATATGTCTGTCGCTACTCTCTTGTTATCAATAGGGCCAATTAATCATAAAGGCTTGTGCTTATGGAAAATCTCGAACTCCAGATTAAAAGGTCCTCGCAAAATGAGGGCGAAATCTCTGGGTAGTGTCTTATCTATCATTCCATCCGCCTTATGAAAATATGAGCCTTAAAAGCTCTCTCAATAAAAAAACAAAACCAACAAAGAGTTCGGGGCATCAAAATTTTCCGAGCCTACAATAAATTAATTGAAACTTGAGAGAAGCATATAGGAAATGCCGAATTTGGGGAAAGGAAAAACTATGGGCACACCCTTGTTGAAATAATACCATATGTTTGAGTCAAAGATTATAAAAAGTGTCTTTTACAATAATTAGACAAGTTATCAATGTAATTATCGAAAACAACAAAAGGCATCTCCTGTGATGGTAGTAGAAAGAAACTTGTGGTGTTAAATTTTTCATCAAGCAATGAAGGCAATTAGCTTGTTCAAAAACCAGGAGATTGAGAAAATGGATATCCAACATTGGTGGTTGTGGATATTGGGCATTAGCCATTATCATGCGTCAGATGATGGTTATTGGGGAACATGAACAGTCAGATGAAAATGTGTATTCGATTTAGTCAATCTCTTAGTAGAAAAATGATCAGAAAATTAATAACAAAAGAGTCAAAATTGGTGGATGATGTGTGTTAGACGATTGTGAACAACATGCATCAAACTTCAATCTTTGGAAGGTGTCAAATAAGAGATTGTTTGAAGTTACATGATACTGGAAAAGTGGTTTGGTTGTTCTCCTTCTAGAAGGAGAGAAAGATGAACAAAAAATGAGTGTAATATGATAGTAGCTAAGAAATCAAACACTATTAATTGGTCGACAATAGTTGAAGGTGAACATCGAAAGTAGAATTATGGTGGGCAATCAGCTTGGTAGATTGAAGGTTTAAGGCACATCAGGAAGGGATGAATTGCATATTCATTAAACATTCAATTGATATCCGAGCTAGTGCTCTTGATAATCTTTATTAGACTTAAACATCCTAGAATTTCAATCTTAATGACACATGATTTGAGTTTTTTCTTGTCTTTTAGACAATCAATTTTCATCCTCTTATTTTAGGTAAAAGAGATTTTGCTATTAAAAAAATTGTATATTTAATATTGTTACAAAATCTCAATTATTAAATTCAATATTATATTAAACAGTTGCTTCTCTTCATGTATTGAAACTAAGTGAAATGAACTCTTAAGCTATCATTTATTTTTGCAAGTCATTATTGGATGACTTCCAATTAGTTTCATATTTAAATACTATTAAATCTATTATGGATACACACACTATTTTTTTTTATTTTTGATTATAAAACAAATGAGAAAACTAATATAAAAGGAGAAAAGAATCTTCAGGGAAAATGTCAATGTGCTACAAGATGATTATTCATAATAACATGCTTCACAAAGAACCAAAATAAGAATAAGGAAAAACCTATGCAAAAAGAAAATGAAGGTGAATAAAAAATGCCTTTTCCAATAGTTCATGATGAAGAGGAAAAAGAGAAAAAAAATGAACAACCATCACAACTCAAACGCTAAAAGCAATGCAAGTGTTTTTTTATGAAGAGCCCTCAAATGCTTTAAATGATTTGATTAATGATTTTATTGAGTTGAAAGAGAAATAATATGACTAGTAAAAAGAGAACCACAATCCTTTAAAAGCTTAATAAGGAATCTTAAGAGTGAAAAAGAAAAGCCTTACTAAATATAAAAAATCTCATGATAAAATTTATCTTTAGAAAATGAGATGGATAGCTTAAAAATTAAATTGAATGCCTAGCTCATTACTTCTATATTTAATTTTTCATTCCATAATCAGGATACTAATTTAATGAAGGACCAACATGTACTTTAGAAAACGAGACATATAAAATTGCTAATATTAGAACTAAATGTAGTAATTCATCCTTGAATACTATCATATCTTAATCTTATTGTATGAATGCTCTACATTATAAAATTAATTCGATAGAAGATGATATTCTAATTTATTGAATGATTTACATATTAATGTATATTTCCACTTCACTATTTCATGTATCATGATATTCATGATATTTAATTGCTTATTATTGCTCTAAACTATAGAATAATTAGTTGGAATAAATGAATTATTATCTAGTGATCAAAATGCTCATGATTTATATTTTAAGATTGTTAGTTTATAAAGTGCAAATGCTAGCCTTAGAAGTAGAATAAATGATTTATTTCTTAATGTCTTCTGCTAGCACTAATTTGTTTGTATGAATAATCTCATTTATGTTGTAGCAAATTAAAAATACTAAAATTACAATATGTTTTATGCATGCCCTACTTGTTATGACTTGTATTTACTGCAATAGATAAAGATATGACACTTATGTTTTTTTCTTTAAGAAATCAATGAACATTAAAGTTACATCATCAAATGTTTCGACTCTTAATGGAACTAGCTTATTATTCTCACCATTTGCACATAAATGCATTTTTAAATATTAATGTTCATCAACCTAAAAGTGATTTAATAATTAAATCAAAGAAGTAGGTTTGCGAGGTCGGTTTGTGTTAATGGAGGATTAGTGAAAACAATGAGGTACCAATTTGAAGTACAAATTTTGAATATGAACTATCAAATATTTAGAATCCAAATCAAAAGTTTTGAAGGCTTGATACGAGCTAAAATTATCAAAATAAGTCTAAAAACTTCCGTGTTTTACTTTTTTCTCCTTATTTTAGCTAGTTTTACACACGTTTAGCAAGTATACTATGTGAGTTAATTTCTGCAATTATAGAAATGTATAAATATTCATACTAAATACTCATAACTCTTATATAACATATATGTTTTAGCATGATTCATAGATTTTTTGAGTTATTAAAATTCATGCTGAAATAAATTATGCTTCATTTCTTAAACAGAACTTTAAACCAACGTTCACTTATCCATATGTTGTACATTCAACATCACTATGTATGCTTCACAGTAATACTTTCTTATTCTTGGTTTTGTTTTCTAAATAATTTTAAAATATTTTAATTTAATTTTAAAACATGCCAATTTTTGTTTCATGGTTTAGTTCTCGCCTATATTTAACTTGATTAGCTCATTCTAAGGAACATAGCATAGCCTTATGTACTATCGAGTTTTGGGTATAAAATAATATACAAAATTGATGAGATTACTGATGTGATTTTGTTTGGTCTAATAAGCCTTCTCTATTAGCTTGAAATTAAAATAGTATAAAGAATCATTAAATTAAATAGATAAATACCAGGTGATCATTAAGTTAGAAAAATTAATTTGGGTTTCATCATGTGGCTTTTGGTCATAGTGTGCTACCGCTCAAGAATTGAGTTAGTTACATGTTTGCTCAGATACCAAAATGAGTATTAATTTTTAGCATCATGAACATACATGAATAATATTTCTCAAATATTTTAAGTACATCTTTATAATTGTTTTAGGCAAACATGATTTTGTTGTCCTCTCATTTCTATTGTGACCAACAAACTTAAAATGATTAATTAATAAGTTGTATCATTATTAATGATTTTTCTTTTTATAATTGACATTATATTTTTACATATTCAGTTTATATTGCGGTTGAATTTCTTTTATGATATCATGATTTATTATTTCATAGTTTATTTTTTTTACAATTGATCTCAGAGATAAACTTTGGATCTTATATATGCATGCCTTTATTTATTTGTTTAGTCCTTTACATGTATGATTTTATTTGGAATATCATATATAAATAGAGAACATCAGTAGCAGCTGTCATCTTATAATTCATGATGAACCATTTCGATAATATCAAAAAGGGAAAATTTTTTATGTTGATGTTTATCAAAAATGAATTTGAATAAATGCATATAATTAGATAGAGAACTTGTAACTTTTTATATATCTAGTGAGAGGTACTTTAGTTATTAATATTATCATCAATCATCATCATCTATTCACAAAAACATAAATTTTCAACTTCAAATATAAAGAGATTCATAACCCCATGAACTCATGTGTGTCTCATTAGTAATTTGATGATAAAAATTTTGTGTGGGGTCCCCTATTGATTTGCTAAGTTCTTCAACATGTTACACATATACTAAACAAATTATATATTACATTAGTTTTTAGAATCTTTACAACTTGAAGATGTATTGTAAATTGTGAATCAAGATAATTTAAGAAAACAAAATTAAGACTCCCAAGCAAACAACATAGTTTGTCTTTAGTTGGCTCACTATATAATGAAGTTTTTAATTACCATGAAATATTCCAAAGATGAAAAACACATACCTAAAATTAATTTAAAATGCATTTCTATATTATTCAAGGATTATTTATGATTTCTAATGATTTAATTGAATTTACTTCTATTTACTAATATTTATTATTCATAAATTATAATAATTAGTAATCATGTATTAAAAATTTATTTCATCTTGGAATTGATTACTAATATTATTATAAAGTATATTTAAGCTTCATAATTATATTATTAAATTTGTTATTATCATGCTAATCATGCTTAATGACATTTATTAAAGATAATTAACTTATATATGTTAATTTTTTGATAAATTTAGAACTTTTATTTTTTACTTTGAATTTTTATGATAGCTTATTGCTAATATATGTTGTGAGTGTGTGTATTTCTTAAAAAAATATTTAAAAATTTTTAGTGTTTAATTAAAAATTCATGAAAATATGTTAAAATTAGAATTAATAAAATTATTTATATTTTTAGAATTAAAACTCAATTCATATTCCATTAATTTTATTGTATTTTCTGGATATGGTTTTATATATTATATGAAATACTTTGAATTAAAAATATTTTTTTTTTAATTTTTTAAAATATTATATCTTTCCTCGTTTAGGTGCCACTCAAATGAATAGTTTCTATAGCCGTTCGAGGATTATGACAAAATTTTGTCCTATAGGAGCTTGATCGTAGGCTTCTTAATGAGCCTTAAATCATTCTATATATATTTCTATAATCTTACCCAAATGATTCCACATATATTCACATTAAAAATATGTAAACATTTTAAGTATAAAGGTTTTATCATATTCAAAAAGAAATGCTATAGACATTTTACTTTTCAATCTCTTGAGATAATGTTTGAAATAATATTTTTCTCAATCTTATGTTTTTTTTTTTTTTTTGCATTTGATTTGTGGTTATATTGCAATCATTTTGCATCCAATTACATTGGACTCTGAAAAAATTATCGATTAGTTTGGATACCACTTAAGTGTTTAGAATAGTGTGATTCATACAAAGTTTACTGGGCTTGAGCTTAGAGATGTTTTCCCTGACCATAACTAATATGCAAGTATGCTTCCCCTTGAAGGAAGAGGATAAGAGTGTGTTTCCTTGTGAAAAAAAAAAAGATTGTTAGAGTTTCTTCATTCATGAAGAATGAAGATGTTTTTACTCCAGTAGAGTAACATCCTTAGTAAGAAGTGTGGACATAGGCTATTACATAGGTCAAACCATGTAAATATAGGATATGTCCATCTTGCACAATAGTTTCGATTTATATTTTTTGGACATTTACTCATAACTATTTTGTTTGAATGTTATATGTTTAAATTAGATAAATTATTTATTATTTTGAGTTAAAATAATTAATAATATAAGGTACTACATTATATTTATTTTCCATAATTGTACTAGTAGTTCAATCACTCACTATACCATTACTTATTACTGTTGTTATGATTGTAAGATTAACTTAATTGACCACAAAAGTGTATCGAATTATAAAAGATTAGCACATCAATTATATTATAACTTGGCTTAATCATCTTATAACATAACACCTTGTACACTTGCATAGTAGATTATTTATTTAATCATTATGCTTACAGCTTTTGAATATCATTTCATTGATTACTTCCAATGTGCATATTTATTACTATAACTTCTGTCTGACGGTATGTGAGATTTGAATTAAGAATAAAAGCATTAGTTACTTCCATTATCTATACTAGATTATTTATATAGTAATAAAGAAAATTTATAAGGCAAAAAAGTATCCCACACCATATTCACCTGCCTCTTGGTGTGCATTAAACTTTCACAGATGATGATAAAGGTAGGCGTTGGGCATTAGTAACTAACGGGCATCAAATGTTGGTTATTAGAAATCTTTGTAAGATTATTAATAGGAAACGTCAATAGCGATCAACAAGGAATGTTGATAGCTGGGCAACAATAGGCAACCAATTTGGTTATTTTTTGATAGGAAGGATAACTAAACAACTAAGAAGATAGGTGCCATTGATGGTTGATAACTAAACAACTAAGAAGATAGGTGCCATTGATGGTTGATAGGCCTCATCTGACATTGGGTGATGGATTTGAAACCAAATGACAGTTAACTAGAAAAATCAAAAGTTAGGTGATGATGGCTAATTATATTTATCATCCTCTTTATGGGAGAAAATTGGCCGACCGATAAGATGAATGTTGAATGACATTCGTGGATAGATCTCGGATAGTGTCAATGATGGGCATTGATATAGGTCAATGACCGACATCGGGCGACGGCAATGATGGACATGAATGATAGTCAACGATTAATGTGAGCACATGACAATGATGAGCATCGATATTGGTCAACATTCAGTATTTGGTGGTGGCAATGAAGGGTGTTGATGTTAAGCAATGGATGGCATCAAGGTTGTGATGACATCATACAAAGCTTTAAAATTCTTGACGAATGACAAATTTCTATATGATGAAAATCCTCTCTTTAATGTACAGAATTATGACCTACTTATAAAAGTTTTGAGGGTTCTTTTTATTTAATTTAATTAAAAGGGTTTAGATATTCCATCAAATAGTCAGAAAAATACCTCCTGATGTCTTGATCTTTTTTGGGCATCTCCGAATATTAAATACTTAAAATTGAGTGATTTTAGGCTCTTCAGATTCTTCTCGCCAACACTCATTTTAACCATAAGAAAATGCAATTTGGAGGGTGTTTGGTCTCTGAAATAGCCTTTCAAAATATTTAATTATGTTATGAGTGCTTGATTTAAACCTATTTGTATTCAGATCCAGGTGTTCATAGCATCTTCGTGTTTGTCTTGCAAACTGCATCCTCTTGACAAGTTTTTAAACATGAAGTTTGAATGATCTCAAAATCAAATTCTAAAATTACTGGCTATGATAATTAGGGGCTTTGAGAGAAAATTAGATTAAAATTCATACTTCAGCAGATGAATTTTCTAGTGGGGTATCAATACAAATTCAATTGACATGGAGACATAAACCATTAAATCACCGGGTTTGCTTACTTGCGTAGCTCAGCCAAGCAAGAAAAAAAAAAAAAACAATCATAATCCAACCAAAACTTCACAATTTTGATCGCAAGCCATCTAAGCAAATCGAAATTAGACGTAATGTGAATAAAAACAACAAAAAAAAAAAAAGACACAGCAAATCCCATTTTAACATAACAGAAACACAACAATCCAAAGACTAGACGAACCTAATGAGAGAAAAACCTAATAAAAGCGGTCCGAGAAAGTAAGAATTAGTTAAAAGTTCAGTGATAGCTGTGTTCACCTCCATTGGGAGCTGGCGAGGAATGAGCTGATAGTGCTGCACGAAGAAGAGAACGAGGGCAACCACTAGGAAGATCCCAAGAATACACCAGATCCAGTACATGATCCAACTCGACAGCCGAGGCCGCCATTCTGACGCCCTCCGCTTCATGCCCCGGTGATCACCCCACCTCTCACAACGATGAAATCAAAAACGCCATCAAACTCATCTCGTTCCCATTAAACATTATATAGCTCGACTCGACGCCTGCATTCTTCAATTCCACAGACTAGTCCCTGAGACGACGACTATTGTCCGGTTGGATTTTAAAGTTGGAATGGTAAAGAAGATTAAGCGATTCCTGAAATAACTCGGTTCGCAGTCATAACTATTTTCCTTTCCCCCAATTCGCTGTCGGCCGAGAGAGCTAAGCTTTTGCCTTCCAATTTCTTCGGGGGTGTGGTGGGCCCATCAACACACCCCGAGTTGGCAAGCTAATATTTAAAATTTGTCAGCTTCTCTTTTCTTTTTATATATGTAGTGGGGAAAATGAGATCCCGATTCAAATATTATATAGTTACAAAAGAAGATCACAATAATTACGGAAGGTTAAGGAAGGTCTGCTACGGAAGAGAAGGCCTGAAAGTCAAAATTAAACAGAACGAAGGGGAGTACATGTACGAGCAACGCAATATGTAATTTGAGTGGATCATATTCAGTTTGCTGATTTAATTATGATTAAATTTTTTGTTATAAGTTTAACTATTAGTAATTGATATTTAACCACTTATCATTGAATTGTAATCTAATGGCTGTGAGCACTGCATCTTTTGAGTGGGTTGCTTCTTAATCGGACTATGTTTAGAATTACAAACCCTGCCATTACTATATCTCTCGCCTTTGCAATCGTGGGCCCATTTCAATGGATAATCTGCTTTTGAATCTGTTTAGTTTTATACACTATTCGAGTTGACAAGGCTTTTTTACATAGAAAAGTAGCAGCATGAATCTCGAAGAGATCTTGCAGCGTGGATGGGACAAAACGTGTCAAAGGAGGGCCTACCAATAGGAGTCTCACAGAGGTCTAGATGTCTGACTTGATAAAGTATATCGAGCTGACTGTCACAAAGGCGACTACATAGATTCAGCTGAATAGCCCGTCTAGACACAAGACAGGATCATCCAAGCCTAACACCACGATGAAGCCAAACCGAAGAAAGGGCCAAACCCTCGAATCCCAAAACTATTATCACAGATGACCAGATGTATCCCTAGGTATCATCAAGATCTAACAAGACAAGTCTCGGCCAACTCCCAAAATCTCTTCGTTTAAGGACGGGTGATGCGCGGTTTTTGTATGTGCAATAAATGTCTTTCAACACGACAACACACACGACAACACAATTAGGAAATACACAGATTAATCACAAAAATAATCACTTCAGTATAATGAGTTTTATATTTTAAAATCTTTCTACCGTCACTCCTAGTGATTTAGGGTATATTTTTGATTTAAAACAATCACTAGGTTGTAAACGCAAGTATACGTATCACTCAAATAATAAATGACTCTAATAGTCCTAAGTATCAATCCCACATGAAGGTGGAAATTCTTATGATAATAACGTAAAACACAATATTTAAACTATAAAAACTAAAAGTAAGAAAGACAAGTTAAAGTGAGTTTAATGTATGCTAACGGAACTAAGTTTACTAAACTTCAAAGCTAAATTTACTAAGACAAAACTAAGTTTTGTGACGAAGAGTTCAAATTTAAGGAAATATCATTCCTCTTTACAATGAGTTTATGATTAGCGAAGGAATCAAATTTTTTTAAAATTATATAAAATTATATTGTGTCAAATAGGAACAATCATATTCTTTCTCCTCTTTACAAGTGAAAAAGAACATTGTCTAATCCAGAGTTTGGTCCCTAAATTCGTGATTAGGCTGGGAGGATACTGGCCTCACTTCAGAGCTCCCTCGTCCCGGCTGGGAGGATACTGGCTCTCACTTCAGAGCTCCCTCGTCCTCCCTCGTCCCCTCGCCTTAGGGCTAACATCTTGCTTTAGTTTCCAAACACTTGAACCAAATTAAGAATTTCGGTCTGTCACCCTAAAATCTCCAATTCTACGCCCATCAAAGTATACTTCCCTATTTATTTGCACTCAACCCAGTGGACTATATTCTCATCCATGAAGTCGAATGTGATTCTCACATTGTTGTAGAATGCATAACCCTTTCAGATCTTATGTTTCTCAACAAATTTTAATATTTCAATTGTCCAAATCGAAAAGTAAATTAAGTTCAGAGTTCGAATTATCACAATTTATGAACATTTAAAACCTTACACAACAATATTGATTCTTCACAAAACCATATCTCATTGTAGAGAGAAGGACAAGGAAGACTACTCAAAATTCATGAGGAAGATACAAAGAAACATGGATTATATATAAAAATAAATTTACAAAACAAAGATAGGAAAGAACACAACTTATCTTTAACTTCTCAAGCAATTCCCGTGAAGTTCCTTTGAAACACTTTCTCTCTTTACAACAATACATAATTCTTTCTTAGAAGTGTGATGAAGAAGAAATCTCTCACTTTCCCTCTCCTCTTAAAAATATTGAAGAAAATCCTCTCAACACACAAGACTCTTCTACACACTATGAGACTCACAACACACTATGAGAGAAGACACACATGACACACGATAAGACCACCACCATAGGCGCCAACCCCTCTCTTTTAATGAAATTTAAAATCCCATCTTTTTCCAAGAGACACACCTTTTCACTCCAAGAGATAAATCTCTTCATCCAAGAGACATATCTTCATTCAATAGCATTTCATAAGTGTCTAGATGCATTAAACTACTCTATGGGGCGTTTAAGTTACTTGGAGCCTTCTAGAACATCACAAAATAGTTAAAAACCACTAAAAATTGTCCATAACATTCTCTGGCGCCTCTGACGCCTATTCACTGAAGTCTCGCGCCTTTTCTGGATTCTGGCACCTCTAGCGGCGCCTCTAGTGCTAGTGCATTTTGAAAAACTGCATTTTTTTACTCCAAATTTCTTCATTTTTGCTCCAAATGCCTAGATAAATATACCAATAACAAAATATGAAAACAACTTTCTTTAAAGTGCAATATCACTAAATTTAAGCATAAAATGTATACATCAAATTGCACATTTTTTTTGTGTACCAAAATCCCCCAAACTGAAACTTTACTTGGCCTTAAGTAACGCTTTTACTAAATAAAAATATGACTTATGGTAGAGAGTTTAACTAATTGATTTCTATAATTTGGTTTAATAAATATAATAGTATTATGAGAGTTTAACTAATTGATTTCTATAATTTGGTTTACTAAATATAATAGTATTACTTAAGAAAAATTTTAGTAACTTAGGTTTAAACTAAAAGTATAAGAATACCAAGTAGTCAAGTCTAAGATTTCTGATTTTCTATTCATTTAAGAAGAATTGTAATTTGTCATATTAAAGATGATTAGAATGTCCACACAAAAAAAAATTCATGAGAACTTTATTAGTAAAAATGCTAATGCTCAAATACAAGTTTAAAAATAAAATAAAGTCTTTTTCCTTCAAGTAAAGTCAATTTTTGATTAGACATCTCCTCAAGCATTCTCATCACATATTTTTCTATTCTTTTTCTCTTTTTTTCTTCTTTTCTTTATTTTTCCTTTTTTGCTTTTCTTTTTCTTTTAATATCATTTCAATCATTTCATTTCTTTACTTTTTCATGTAAATATTACTATATCTGGATAATCTTTAATAATTTTGAACTTCACAATCCTCTTCTTAAATTTAAGAACTTCTCACATTCCTTCACTTTCTAAATTCATATTAGCTTTCAAGATTTTTCATAGTCTCATTCTTTTTTTCTTATATGAAACTCTGAGATTTTTTATAGTTCCAAAATACAATTTCCTTTACTTTAAATAGAAAAAACTTAATCTTATTTTTTCATACTAAATATCTCAACTCTAGAGTTAATCTTCATTATTAAAGATTTTTACTTAAGTTTGCTATATATTTAAAAACAAAAATATAGTTATCTAAAGTTAGCCTACAATATCAAAGGTCATGCTGAATTAAATTTAAAAATATAGCTAATTAGGGACAAATAAAGTTTAGTTTTCTTCTTTTAAAGAAATTTTTCTTTCCTCCAAACTTAGATTTTTAATAGGTAAAGTATTTAATACAAAAATTTAGGTAGAAAGAAAACATTTAACTGCATAAAATAAGACTAACCTGTAGAGGGTTTTGAACATGAAACTTGGCTATGAAACATTGCACGTACTAATTAAAAAGTACATAGTTTAAAACATTGCATAAAACATGATATATCAACAAGGTTTGCTAAGAAAAAGGAAAATTTTAAACATAAGGAGTAAATTGTAGAAACAAATAATACTGAAATAAAAACCAACAATTTCAATCTACACACAACAAGTTCAACATCACAACTAACAATACATAAAATCAAAGTCCAAATCACAAATAAAAACCTAAAAGCAAACAAACTACTAACTAAAGAAAACAATAAAGTACCCAAACAAGCTCTTCTGTCATCATCCTCTTCTTCTCCTTCTTCATCAAAATCATTATACACATAAGACTTAAAACTGGGGTAGGTAGGGAATTCCACAGTGTGATCACCCCTTAAATATTTGGTCATAGCCTCTTGATATTCAATATCATGCTCAACTCTTCTTTGCATGTATTTGTCATCATGTGTATTTCTTACTTCCTTCCAAGCCCACTTATTCTATTTTGCATTGTCACTATATCTGCTTGTTGAATCATTAACTGCCCCAAAAAGTACTAGAAGTGGAAGGTCTTGCAACTGATGTAGAAGATATATTACCACTTCCACCTCTAGTTATTGATCCAACAAATGACTCAAATTTATGAATGGTGGGTTTACCAATAGGTTTAAGTGGCTGTAATAATTCTTCCTCTCTTCAAACTCTACTCCTGATTGTTAACATAAGGTGAAAATCAGAGTAGAATAGCCTAAACCACCAGTAGTTCCATCCTTAGCAATACTATGGGCATTATGATGAATGAGAGCACCAATATCAATAGTTTTCATTTGTTGAATGCACCATGTCTCTATAGAAGAGCTCATGATGGAAAAGCAAAAGCCCAACAAAACTTTGGTTGATTACATTTTGAGGTGGAGAAACCTTAGCATGAAGTGTGAAACTCAGCTACAGAAACATCACGCAATTGAGATCTTACTCAAAAGCATTCATGGGCCAGTAGCTTTCATGCTCAAGGGACTTTCCATCAAATCCTTTGAGAAGCTACTTAGTAAAGCCAGCAGTCTTTAAGAGGAAATCAAACATATGGATTCTCACGAGATATCCAAGGCAACTAGAGTATTTGAAAAGAAGTCAGGAACAATAGCGATTATTGATAAAGCAAAACAACCAATGAAGACATATCCAGAATATCCTTGCCAATGAAGTTATATCCAGAATATCCTTGCCAATCTTCATCACAACATGCTCAAAA